GAAATCGGTCACTTGTCCACAGAATTAGAATCTGTACAGTGAATGGCACGTAGTGCACTATATAGGGGACAGGGAACGATTCAAACAGTGTAAATATGCTTTCCATTGAGGAAAAAAATAAGTCTGGTTTCGCGCTGTGTCACGCTAACCACCGCACTGCACACACACTCTGCTCCGGTCCAGAGACACGATAGCACGGAGCCGATCACATGCGGGAGTCGGCGCAGACCACAAAATGTATCGGAGCTATTTGAATTCTACACAGAATGCTATATTTTATAGCAATATGGATGAGATTGTGGCTGGCATACCCTGTCAAATGCGGCTTTACAGAGCTCAACGGCTCTAGCCCAAGCTGTGATATAAATGAACGCTATTGGCTATTTTAAAAAGGGGCAGGGCTGCTTGATATGTCCCGGCCTGTCTTCCTGTTTCAGTTAAAATGACGTCAACACAGAGTAACACTGCGTGTTTCTAAGCATTTCAGGGGACCTTGAATCAAACAGCAACAACAAAGAAATCACTCATTGTTCTTGATTGAATAGCTTTTGTAACTTTGATTCATCTTTAATTTATACAGTCAAATATGCAATGCTGTTTTACATTTCATTACTTTATTCAATTTCTGTACCTAAAAACTAATGTTAGGCCTAGACCCAGTTTTCCAGTCTCTCTAGTAGTATGTTATGATCGACAGTGTCATACGCAGCACTGAGATCTAGTAGTACCAGCACTGATATTTTGCCATATTCAGAATTTAAGCGAATATCATTTATTATCTTAATGAGCGCTGTCTCTGTGCTGTGAAGCATAATATGGTTTGCTATAAATAACATTCATTACTTTATTCAATTTCTGTACCTAAAAACTAATGTTAGGCCTACCTAAAAAAAAAAATAAGAAAATCACTGTTTATTTTATTTGTATCTTTACTTTATTGTATTTATTTGTGCTGTTGCTTGTAGTTAGATAGATTATTCTTATTTTCTTTATTTTTATTTGACAGTATAGTTTTTCCCTAAACATAGCACATACCGAACCGAAACCGTGACTCTAAAACCGTGATACAAACCGAACCGTGAGTAAGTTGAACCGTTCCAACCCTAATACTCAGAGGCAAGTTTTTTACATTTACTTGTTTAAGACGTGACAGCAATTCAACACAAAAAGCAAGCTGATAAAGTCAAGATGTTTAGCTGTTTTTCAACCAAACTGAAAGGGGAATAAATGTGATACAAGCCACTTTGTGGCATGATTGCTGGTGTTGTACTGGACACAGCAGGCTAGAAACAGCGAGAGGTTCTCTGGCCAAAAACACCTTGTCAAAGGAAATGTCTAGAGGAAAATGTCATTCAAACTGACGCTCTTTATAACAGTTCTGTGCAGAAGAGCATCTCTGAAGCTTCATGGTTTTGGTCCACAGCAGAAGAATAATGCGCTTATACAATCCCACCTCATGTCAATGGTACAAGCTAGTACAGGAACCCTTAAAGACAAACAGTGCTCTATTTAGATGCTGTAGTGTATGGGCATTGTTACTGACCATCTGTATCCCTATATAGCCACAGTCTACCCATTTGAAATGAATAGCCTACTTCCACTGGGACAATGCACCGTGTCACAAAGCATTAATCATCTTCACCTTGTTCTATTGTGGGAATAGCCTGTGACTTCAGCTTGTTCCAATGACAACACGGTCCCCTGATCTCAAACCAATAGAGCACCTTTGGGGTGAACTGAAATGAGAGGTTCATGCAGCCTGTAAATGGGCAGAGGCTGTGTGATTGTATTGAGTTAACCGCTGAGGAATTCTTCCAGCATGGTCTGCTGAATCCTTGCCACAAACAACTCAGACAGCTCTGGAGGCAAAGCAGTGTGCTGATCTGTACTACACATGTGTACCTAACAATGGACATTGCGATATAGCTAGTGATACATGTATTTAATATATTCAATTTAACAGAGGAGCTGACATGACATTTTTAGCCGTGACAGCAGAGCACTGAGATAAAACTGAGATACATTTTGCTCTGGATTCTTTGGTCAATAGATAGTCTCTGCCTCAGGCGTCATGCCCACAGACCGCTGGCTGAACATCTGATGCATGAGGCACACAAAATCGGAAGCACCTCGGGAGTTTTGAAGTCTGATTGGATTGGTTGAATTCTATAGGAATTCCAGGAGATGTGTGTGTCGTCATGATTACGTTTTTACAACTGAAACAAATATTTTGCAATTTGTTTTAAAAATCGAATGCATCCTTGATACTGCTGAATAAAAGCATTTTAAAAAAATGTACCCCAAACTTTTAAATGGCAGCATATGGGCTTAATATCTACAACCTTATTGCACAAAAGTTCACACACAAAAAAATTATTCTGTATAATACATTTTAGGCAAATTGCTCACAGCAGGCAATGGTAATGGTGCTTTAAAGATAATGAACTTCTCAACCTACTAGGAAAAAGCAGAGCTCCAGGAAAAGGTCTGGTGGGATCAGCAGCAAGAAATGACCCTGGTGAGCTGAACTTCTGTCTAGCACCATTAAGACACAATAAAGACTCAGTATAAGTGAACTGGTCCCAGTTGGTACAGGACAGAACACTACATTGATCGCTTCTTCCTTTCTTAGCAGGGTCAACCTGGATCATGATTGCTCCAGGAAAACTGACAGGAAGAGAGTCTGAGGCACTTGTTGTCAAGCAGTCCTGAGGCAAGCTCAGAGGACACAAGTCTCTCATAGAGCAGAGACGTAAAGCCT